CCTAAAACATGAGAAATGGTTCTGAGCATAAAAACTCAAAATGGAAAATTCACCTCCACAGGGATAACAGGCAAGATTAATTATGTTAACTGCTTAAAAACAGAAGCAGAGTCCTAACTCCTTCAGTGACAGTATAACTCTAGAATTTCTGTCACCTTTCCCCATAGCCCATGACTTACAGGGATTTCCTGCACAAAGGATATTTCTCAACTGTTTACCTCAAAGTGTGGAATAGAAAACATGGCCATTTATCATCCTTCTGATTTATGTAGACTTAGAAGCCCCACTATCTTACCAACTCTAGGAAGGCCATGTAACACAATTCTACCCTATCATCATGGCCTTACCTCCCATTAATGTTAACTCATCTCCTCTACCCCCCAGGAATTATTCTGGCACAAAGTACCAGAGACATAATTGCCAAATTCAATCTTCTCTTTTCAGTCCTCATTTTATCAGGAAGTCTTTGGGCAACTGACACAAAACCAGCCCTTTCTTCTTCAAAGCTGTTCTCCCTTACCTCAAAACTTCATTCTGTCACATTTCTCCCTTTCTAGTCATTGCTTTTGCATTTCCACAATTAGCTCAAAACCAAGTCCTATCTTTGACCTTTGTTCTCCCTGGATGATTTTGATTTCTGCTAACCCAATAGTTTCAGTGCACCTTCCCATCAAGTGATTCTGAGATCTCTGCACCAGTCCAGACCATGCTCCGGAGCAACAGGGCCTGACACCCTAACTGCTGATTTAACCACTCAAAGTCACACTCTCCAGAAGGAAGTTCCTTATCTCATCCCCCTCATACTGGATCACCTGGAGGTTAGAAGCAACTTTCTCTAATCACGCCAGAGCATCTTACTCCTTCAATCTTATATCCATTTACTGTCAATTCTATCTCCTAAATTAAGCCCTCTTACCCCCTTCATTGCTACTCCTTAATTGAGGATCTGCCATTCTTTACCTGAACTATTACAATCACCTCCTAAGAAGTCACACCTCTTTCCACCGCTCTAATGGGGCCTCCATACCATTGCCAAACTAAAGCATGTTACCCTGCTTTTTAAATCCTTACCTACCAAATGAAGATCAGCTTCTCAGCATAATAAAAGGTCCCTTGGGATCAGCTCCTGCCTGCCTCTCAGATTCATTTTCATTAAGCCTCTCATTGTACACTGTACTCCAGTGATAACCAATTATAACACAAAGCAGTTTTGTACTTCTGTCCTTTTTCAGTCTATGCTCTATATGGAAACAGCTTTCCCCAAACCAGCACACACCTGAACCTTGTCTTTTGGCAAATTCCTACTCATTTTTCATGTGTCATTTTCTTCCTCTGTAGAAAGTGTGAGTAGGATCTTTTTTGATCCTTCCCAGGAGATTTGACTGCCCCTCTCCTCTTTTGTGGCACCAAATCCCTTAATTTCAGTTGTTCATTTACATATCTGTCTCATCCTTACCTATGCATATTTTTTGTGTGTGTGATTTTACATCATGACATTTTGCCTGCAATACAGTATAAGCAGAATAAATATTTGTGAAATAAAAACTGTTGGCAAAAGTCATCATTCAAYAAAGATTCAAACAGACCAGTAGAATCACATTATGCAAGATTTTAGAGCAGTGAACTAAGAATCATCTATCACGTGATTTAATTTACCAAATTTAAATAATGCATACATAATCCACTTAGTTCTGTTCTTTTTCCTCTCATGTACTCTATCTTTTAATACCCTACTCCAACTCTGAATCATCTTCTGGCCTTTTTATTTTTTTCTTCTGGCAGCCCAATTAAGTCCTTTTATTCACTGAGTCAAAAATCCCATTTCAATTCTCAGATAGACCTATCCTCTGAACCTTTGAAGGCTGGATGTAGACCCTTGCTGAAATAATAGCATCTAGCTCTGCTAATCTAACAATAAAGAACTCTTATATTTATATAGATGTTTTCCTTTAATATATTAATCTCATCCTCACAATAAAGTAAGTAGGTCATTTTGTATTACTTTTATTTTACAATTGAAAAACAGATACCCAGAAAATACCTTCTGTTAATTCCTCCATATGAAAGCTCAAGTACTTCTGATGTATGGTCCTTTTTTTCTTTGAATACCAATTACCAAAGTCACATCCCATTCTTGTTCTTTATCTGCTGGTACATTGACTTTACATTTTTTTTCTCTCTTCCAAACTATCACTTCCTGTTTGTGCCTATACTTCCATCCTGTTGATTTGATCACCAGCTGAACATTCCAAAGCAATCATATTTTTCTCTCCTTTTCAACTCCATAATCCAAGGACACTGATAAAGGAAGCTGATTTTTTTTTTTTTTATGAATTTCACCCCAGAGTCCAATCCTTTGCAAGAGTTTAAGTGAAACTTTTACTCATACCCAGTTGTCTTTTTGAAGGGCCTTTTTCTGCTCTCAGGCAATCATCACTAGATTACTCCCAGGCCAATTTTCTGTGCTCCCTTTCCTTTCATTGCTCTTCCCTACAACTAGGCAAAGAAACTGCTAGACTTTGTAACTTAGGTAAGCAGGAGTACTTTTATAAATGATGATGAGACAAACAAGGTTTAGAATGACCTCCAGATTTTTCCATACTCCTCAACATGCTCTCATATCAAGAGTTGGCTTTAGTTTCCATCCTCAAAACTCTCACTTTAACTGGTCTTACTCTCTTCCCCACCTCATAGCCCTATCCTTTGTATCCAGCTTTCACTTCCTCTAATATTAACAAAGAGTGCAAAGGGACAAACTCGCAGCAGTGACACACAGCAGTTACTGTAACTGTGCCTTTGTTCACAGGAGTTGGGCCCACACTTTCACAGCTGTATATCAGAAGAAAGCACTAAGCTCAAGGGCATGCCCCTCCAAATAACCTTACCCTTAAAGCCTGAAAATCCCTTGCCTTCCGTGCTTTACTCTTAAAAACAATGCCACTGTGAAACAATAAAGTTTACATATTAGCTCAGCTGGTAAGACTAGGGAAAAGCAGATATTGTCCCTGGAAGGCCACTAGGCCTTTTCTATTTCCAAAGGAACTCAATTCACAGTTAATGGTCTTAAAATTCTGTTAGTCATCAAGAGGAATATAAATGGAACTGTGACCATTTCTAAAAACACAGCTAGCCACCACAAGCAGGCTCAGTAGCATCCTCCTGTACATTTTACTATTCCTATTGTCAGAGGGAAAAGTCAAATTTGAGAGCTAAAAGGATAAATCACAGGCAATTTCTAAAAMACCAATAAAAAGCTGGGATTGACTTAACAAGGCCTTCCTGAGCCTTCTATCATCTCCCTACTTCTCTTTTCATGCTTCTGCCTTGGGTTGTAGACTTATACTCTGTTCCGACTGGGTACATGTGTATAGAACATTTGCTCATCTAAAGGATTAGTCTGGTTGTAGTGACCAAAGTATATCCTCTACTGCCCTTGACCTTCACCTATTTTGAACAGATTCTTCATTACTTAAGAATTAATGTTACAAGAAGCTTGAAGACTTTTCACTTCAGAAAACACACATTCTGCATATTGGGACTGATGGGTGTTGGAGGATGGGGGTGAAGGATAAAGTTTCTACTGTCACAACTGTTCAAACTGAAGATGTCCAAGGAGCACTCTTGGTAGAAACTTGGAAGAATGGATTATTCCCAGGTGATAAAGTTGTGGAATACATATTAAACTAATTATACTAAAAACTCTGAAATTAAATACAGCTGTTTATTGAGAGCATGCCCTGATTTCCCCTATTACAACACTTCTGTGTCTTCCCACACAAGCCTTTGATCTAATTCTCTTTCATTTCAGGCTGTCCTGGGACTTGTATTATGAGAAAGGAAGCTGAAAATCCATGGATGATGGTGATGTCAAGAATGCAGATCCTCTCTCAATCAAACCTGGGTAAAATTCAGAAGTTATAACAATCTACACAAGGAATAAGCTCTGGACTTTCTTCCCAGAGGGGATATTGGCTAACTTATTTTTGCTGCTTAAGTTCAAATGCCCCATCACCCTGATTCCTAGCAATCTTCCTAAAACCAGGACCCACCTCTCATATCCTCTTCAACATAATCATTCAAAGTAGGTCAGAAATGTTGCTTCCTTCCCCTCATTGATTTTTATTAAGAGGATGCACTTTCTAGAACATTTAAACGATAAACACCTAATAAAAGTACCAAACGATGACACCCCCTGTAAATTTTTGGCACACTAAGTCATGTTCCCCTAAAACCTAGAGGAAATCTCATCACCCATAAATTATCCTTGGCTGTAAATTCACAATAATCTCAATCTATAAAATGCACAGCTGCACAGCTTCAGCCAGGTGATTAAGCACCTCCCAAAAGGAGCATATTCACTCTGTCTTTTCTAATTTTCTACATCACCAGCCCGCCTCTTCCCCTAGTACACTCTTTTTTTTTTTTTCCTAACCAATTTATATCCATATTTTGCCAGAAGAATGCCAAATGACACTACACACAGGCTTAGCAGTTCCCCAGGGCCTTATCAGGAAGGTGAGCCCAGGGAAGTAAGAGGAAAACCTTTGTAGACACTTGGGAGTGGAGAAAAGGGGGAGGCGCGGGAAACCCTCCTGAGTCTGTATCTGGGTCTCAGGAAAAACTGTAATGAGATAGTTCTCCAATTCTCACTGGCCGGGCTTCCCCAGTCTCCTCCCCTTGACGAAACGTCTCCCTCGACCCCCAAGTCCTCAAACCTGACTCTCCAAAAGAGGGCACCGCAAAGTCCTTCAGAGCCCCCCCCCCCYGCACCCGCCCCCGAAAAAAATAAGCGCGAACAGAAAACATCACCAGATAGGCATCAAAGCCACACACCCTCTCCAGGCCAGCTACCAGGGGCGGTCAACTTCATCCCTTGAAACAAAACGAAAACCCTGTCCTCCAACAAGGAAAAAGGTGACGAAGGCAAATGAAGAAATAAACAGTCAACCCCTCCCCCGCCCTCTCGGCAAACTCCAGGTAAGGGACCAGGTGCTGCTCACCTCCTGGCAAGGAGGAAGCGGGCGGCTGGAGGAGGAGGAGGGCAAGTCCCCAGCCCAGGCCGCCTGACAGCCGGCGAAAACCCAGCAGCAAATCCAGGCGAGGCTCCAGGGCGGCGCGCGCCCGCGGCGGGGCATCCCCGYCGGCCGCCCCCGGCCCCCGCCCCGCTCCTGCAGCAGGGCGAGCAGCAGCATCTCCGTCCCGCGGTGGTCGGCCGGCGGACAGGAAGGCAGCCTCCCCGGGTGGGGCGGCAGCTCCGGTTCCCTGGCTGCGAGGAGGGTGCGCTCCCTGGGCTCCGCGCTCGCTCGCCCCTGTCAGTGCGCCTGCTGACAGCTCCGCTGCGCTGGCTGCCCGGGCAGCTGGCGCCGGTGCTCCCGTCACGCCGGAGGGAGGGACCGCGGGACGCGGGCGCGGCGCGGGGGCGGGACGCGGGGCGGGGACGCGGGCGCCGGGGAGCAGGTGGCGCGGGCAGGGGCTAAGGCCCAGCGCCGTTTGCCTGGAGGGGATGCCCTGCCACCGGAGCGGGGAGCTTCGCTGCAAGACAGAGGATGAGACAGGCCGGTGACCCCCGGAGTGTTTCCTATATCTTGGTCCCCACGGAGCAGCAGTAGGGACGCTCCAGGGATGAAGCCCGAGTAATACAGGTCGTCAGGACATTATTTTCATACGGCGGGTCTTTAAAATCTCCCCAGTCATGCACACAGAGAGAAGTAACCTAGGGGCCAGCCTCGGATCCAATTTCTAGGTGATTAGGGTTTGTAGGAAATGGCGGGTAGGACAGAGGACTGAGGTAAAAGATGTAGTGTGTGATTCCGTTTCTCGCCTATTTAGTGAAAATAATAACAATACTGGAGGATTGTTGTAAGTGTTAAATAAGTTGATGCACATAAAGCACTTACAAGAGTGYCTGGAACGTAGTAGATGTGATAAGTACTACTAATAATAGTAATCCCAATTATTGCTGATACTGGTGTTATTTTCCCCGGGGATGTGTAACCTTGGGCAAGTAAGCCGTTTTGTTTCTGGAGAAAGCAGCTTCTCCTGTACAAAGATTGGGATAACTGAACGAGGTAGTGGGAACCAAGTGTGAACATGATGGACAGACCTTGGTAGCTGGGATCTCCAGGGTGGCTTCTTGGTCTAAAATTCTGTGAATGAGTTAGTTATCCTGTTTAAAAGAAGCCCAAATTTTTGACAATTGATTACCTGAAGAAATCTACCTGACACACAAAACATAAATTGACCTGATTCTGTCTGCAACCTTCTCTCTAATATCAGCTTAATAAACATTTTCAAGTGAAACACTCTCTATATACATATGTGTATGTTCAGATATATGTGGAGAGAGAAAAATAGATTTATCTAGATATAGGTATAAACATATAGTTAYAAATATGTAGATATATAGTGCAAAAGATATGTGATGCATATGTATTCTGTTTATTGTAAACATTTTGGAAAATACTAAAGAATATTAGGAAGAATATAAAAATCACCAGGGATCCCACTACCCAAAGAAGACACCACAGTTATTGATGGTATTAATATTTGTAGAAATTTCCTTCTTGTTTTATTAACTCTGTGTATACTCCAAAATTGGAATAATAATTTGTAAATAATTTTGCTTTTACTTTTTACTTAAAAACACGAGTACTTTCTCAAGTGATTAAAGTCTCCAACAACACAATTTTAATAATTGCATAATATCTTCTACTTTTTGGAAATACATAATTTACTATTGGCTCTTAGGCAGTGTTTCTCAAGTATTCAATGTTATAAATAATTCTAGAATGAATGTCCTTAATACATAAACTATGTGCAYATTTTTAAACTTTCTTTTTTTCACATTTTTCAATTTTTCGTGATACTTTTCCAGAATTGATATCATTAGATCATAGGGTATGTACATTTTTAAAGTTTTTCATGAACAATGCATAAATTCTCTCCAAAACAATACTATCAACTGTTTCCAGTAGTTTATGAGTATTTATATCACATCACACTAGATTATGATACTTTAAATATTTGCCATTTTGGTAGAAGAGAAATATGCTCTTATTAGTATTTTTAAATGTATTTTTATTATTAGTGATTATGTTAGCTTTCTAGTACTGTGACAAAATACTTCAGAACATCTACTTAAAGGAGGGAAAATTTTATTTTGGGTCGGGTTTTAGAGGTTGTACACCATGAGCAGCTGCCTCCATTGCTTTGGGCCTGAAGCAAGGAGGGACATCATGGCAGGAAGGGTGAGGCAGAACAAAACTGTTCATCTTACGGTTATCAGGAAGGAGAGAGAGAGGGAGACAGACCAACCGTGGAGGGGGCCAAAAACAAGAATATACCCTTCCASGGCACATTCCCAGTTACTGCTTCCTCTGACTAGGCTCCACAATGTCCATTCAATCATGAACCCATCAATGGGTTAATCCATTCATGAAATCAAAGCCCTCAWAATACAATCACTACCCTTAAACCCCACCTTTAAACCTTGCTGCATTGGGGATCAAGCCTTCAACACATGAGACTTTGAGGGACAGTCCAGATCCAAACCATGACAGTGATACTGAATAACCTTTAATATATGTTTACTGACTACTTGTATCTATTTGCACCTCATGTCAGCATGTATAAACTTTTTGTTGGTACTCTGGCCATTTTTGAATCAAAGTTTTTGTCTTTTTTATTGATTTGTAAGCAATCCTTATAAGTTTTATGCATGTTTTCCAAATATGTCAAAAGCATTTTCCTCAGTTTATAATCTTTCTTTTAATATACTTTCTGGTAACCTTTCCTGAAGAAGACTTCATTTTTATGTTCTTAAATATAGTGACATTTCCTTTTATAAGTTTTTCCTTTATTTTACACTTATAAGTACCTGGACCTCTGCAAAATCATACAGATGCCTGTATCTTCTTCCTTTGTCATTTTCTTTATGTATTATTTTTATTCTTTACTTCATTGGAAATTTACATGGGTCAAATTATGCTATTATTTTGGAACATAACTACCAATATAGCTAATGAATTGAAGACAATTTCTTCCCTTGTAAAAATTAAGGTCATCTTAGTCAGTGTACCTAGGTTAAATGATAATTACAGATTTTCCTAAGTAGGTCAATTTGTAACTCACAAATAATTTTCTCTTACTGATTTCACCTATAGAAAAAAAATCTTAACTTTAGGTAATTAAAATCAGCATACAGAGAAAACAAATCCCTCCCAAAACTCTAAGGTCTTCTTGAAACTATTATTTTATAATCTAACAGCAGATTATTCAAGTAGTTGGTGGTTAATCAATAATTTACTCTTAAAAGTCTAGTTTCTTTAAATATGTTTTAATAAAAATTCCTAATGGAATTCTTTGGGAAGGTTTTAACTATGAAGATTTAAACATTTTGAAGGCACTAGATGATCATCAGCTTTCTTTTTTGCAGGGTGTATCTGAAAATTGAGCTTAACTTTGTTAAAAAATCAAGAAAACCTTAGCTAATATGATGCTATACTTGTAAGTTTGTTTTATTTCTTTTAAAATTTAAAGCTGACTGCTTTAAGTTTATAAATAAGTTTATATATAACCCCAATTTTTTAAAGATTGGCTAAGCACAAAGTTAGGAAAATAATCTAAATAAATTCAAGTAACAAATTTCTAAAAAAAAAATAAATTTTATAAAGTCAGAATGAAGACATTAATATAAAGTATTTCTACATTAAATTAGCAAAAATGTAATAATTAAGGAAAATGTGTATTATAGATTACACATGTAGGAGAACACGTATTTCTGGAGAACAATTTTACAACATATTAAAATGTTTATGCCTTAACCTAGTAATTTTTACTTCCAGGAGTCCAAGGAACCAGTAAMTAATGAAAACAAAGGTACTGAATAAGAATACTCACTATTGTTACATTATTAAAAATGAGCTGGGCACCATGGTGCTCACCTGTAATCCCAGCCTCTTGGTAGGCTGAGGCTGGAGAATTTCGAGTTCAAAGCCAGCCTCAACAAAGGTGAGGTGCTAAAACAACTCAGTAAGACTCTGTCTCTAAATAAAATATAAAGTAGGGCTGGGGATGTGACTCAGTGGTAGAGTGCCCCTGGGTTCCATCGCTGGTACCAAAAAAAAAAAAAAAAAAAGACTTAAGTGCCCCAAAAGACAAATGGCTAAATAAATTATGCTACTTCATGTGGGAGAAATACACAGATATTAAAAATTATGTTTTCCATAGAATATTAAATGAATTGAAGAAATGTGATGATATAATAAAAGCTAGAAACAAATCTTAAGGAATATGGTGGTAAAGTGAAGACGTCAAGTATGTTTTGTGGAAGGAATATGATTAGAATAAAATAAACCAAACTTGTTACAAAAATATATTCTCTACTAACTGGTGGCAAAACAGATGTTTTTCTTTTCATTTTTACAGCCACTCTGTTTTCACTTTTTCCATAATTATCATGTTCTTTTTATAATCATTAAAAATTACTGAAAATAGTTGTGTTCTTTGATGTCAATCAATTCTACCTGATGAAATCATCAAAGTTGTATACTAAAACGTAAGAATAAAGATGCACTTGTAACACAGTAAATGAAACCTAAATATCTAATACTAGGAAAACAAGTAAATAATGCTACGTGATAAAAGAAAATCTTTAGATGAATGTAGCAGCATTTGAGCAAAGAAACCATTCATGAATCAGGCAGCATCCTGAACCAGTAAAGGTTCAGAGAATTCCACCCAGCAGCATGAGCACGTTGTATTAATAGAAAAGGAAGTGACTTATAGAAATAGCCTGATTGGTTGTAGCTCTGCATTTGCCTTGTATAGTTTGCAGCCTTGATTGGCTGAAAACTGGGCTGCTATAATTAGCCAAGACTCAGCTACTTTTACAAAAATATATTCTTAAGTTAGGTTGCAGTTTAGTACATAAGGAGGCAGCATTAGGCCAAATTTAATTTAATATGTTCAATCATATATTATCCCAACACAAAGAAATATTTTATGGAAGGTGTCTGTCAAATGGAAATGCTTAAGAAAATGCTTTCAGTAAAGTGGGGAAAATCAAGATACAAAATTTATGCAGAATAGCTATACTGAATATAATAAAAGTATAAAAACATGTGCAGATGGATATGAATCAATTTCAGGATAGCAATTTCCTAGAAGAGAATAAAGAAAAATGATATTGGGA